ACCGTAGAGTGGCCTGAAGCCACTTGTTCGCGACACGACAGTCGGCAAATGTGCAGCAGTTGCACTTCACAACCTTAGCTTTTTGGGGTCACCAATTCTAATAGGAGCACCAAGTTTGCAACAGTACATTCTTTTATTCGAAACAAAACAACAGCAGACCAGTAAACAATGTGTGAGAGAAATAAGACACAAAGCATGTATGCGAGGCCGGATGTTTTCATTGTCACTTCTCGTCTTCTACCACGCCCCACACGCACATGCCCGAGCACCCTTACACCTACTATACACTCGGCCACGCTGCAAAATTCTATGGGGAGCTCTATAAATGCATTCAGGCAGGTGAGATTGGCTATGCCGCAGAGGTAATCGAAGGCCCACAGGCCCTGAACCCTGAACTATAATCGTTAGGGATAATATCTCTGGCGGGCAGTGTTGGCTGTGCCTTGTGGGTCCTTAGGGTGCATGCCACCAACTTCCTCTCTGTGTGGCCTGACACTATGATGGTCGGCATTGGCTGACTCGACGATGCTGCAGTGCGCTTAGTAGATAGTTCTGCTGCCACAATTCGGGGCACCAGTCATCATCCACGTTCGCGGGTTGAGCCAGCAAATACTTGCACAGTGCAGAAGGCGCGCCAGTTCGGACAAGGTACAGAAAAAAGTCGTAATTCGGCATGGTAGCATATGCTTTGCCGTCCCCAAAAAGGTGGTCGCTCGTGGCCCCGTGTTCGCAAGTGTGAACGCCATCATCCAATCGGCTACATGCAGCTGGTCAGCGAGATGCAGTGTACAGATGTAGCTTCGGGGAGGTTTCCCTGAGCTCCATTCTAAGCAATTGTCAGATTCAACGTGCAGGTGTCGTGACCAATCCGACCAAAAGCAGCAATGAGCTGGCCATTCCATTCTGTACACAATTTTTGCTCGACGCCTTCGTACTTCTACCATGACTCAGCATTACCGCGAAGGCGGTCAATGGATATCAGTCATATTTACTTAAGGTCAAGGCATGGAGCCCCCCGAGCGCAATCATGGTAAAAAGTGCTTACCAGCGCAAACGACAGAGAAGGAAGAGTAACTGTATAAAAGCGAAGACCTTCGCAAGGAATAAATTTCTGGCAGTTCAGCGCTCTGTCTCGTCTCTTCTCCTGTTCCCTCCTGCCCTGTCGTTTGCGCTGGTGAGCACTCTTTATCATGTTTTACCAACACGCCCAATCCTACTGTCTCTGCAATTATGGTCATGACCCATGCGTCGGTGTCATCACGGTAGTCACAAAACACCGGTTCTTTCATATGTACTACATATATAATAAGAATCCTGGGCCAATAGCACAGTGCAACGAGCTAGAGTGCTGAAATTCTTGGAAAACTTGCGTAAGAGAACGCAAGGAATCTACAGCTTTGTCGGGTGAGAACCCTGCAGAGCCAGGGCCATCAGCAGCAGCTCCGGTACTCACAGCGTTCGTTGGAGGCTGACGGGACGGTGGGGCCCAGTTCATTATAGATAAAGCCGTCCCCTCACCGGGAGTTTGTGAGGCGATGAGAATATATAGATGCCGTCCCCCAAACGTGCTTGGCACAATGACAGGAAGCAGGGTTCCATGGCCGAAAAAGCGTAAACGGCTTCTCTTGATTGGCCAAATAGAGACACGAGGCGAAGACAGTGGCTGTCTTAAGGTGGCGTTTTTGATGACTGTGCTGTTTCCAGAGAAGTAAGACAACGTTTTTATGCTAGGCCAGTTGTTTTTATTCTCACTTCTCTCTTCTTGTCTTCGACTGAGACCCTCCCCCCCCCCCCGTACCTATGTCCGAATGTCACTATATATCTACATTACAAATGCTACAAGTGTTTTCGAAGGCCAAGCATGCAGACTAGAGAAATGTGTGTACTACCATCAATCTCATGGTGGCTGAACGATTGCAGTGGCAGTCTATTCTAGTTAAATTAGGGAAATTATATGGTGGTAGATACACAGATGGTCACCTACATGTTAGGTTAAGTAAGAACACCTTGAACGAGCCGAATATAAAGCAACATACTTGGGTTTACACTGCGGCGACAATGGTTGTCCTACAAATTCGAGCATCTAAATATTATTCGAAGAGACAGTTTCCTCCACGCACGTCATTGCGGAGACCACAAAGGTAAATATTTTGGCTTATTGGCAACTCTACTTTTCGTTGCTTGCCTGATCTGCCAAGGGAGTTTTCTTGATGACCTCTGGTAACAAGATCTTCATAATAATACAGTGCAGTTTTATCTCTCATTTCTACCACGAACTTCTCGTGATTGGAATAGCCTTCCCGCGGACGCTGTGAATATTATTCGTCATGAACAGTTCCGTAATTCTGTAGTTAACAATTCATACTCAGGTTTTTTTACATACACTGAAAGTTAAAAATTTGCTGCTTTGTTTTATATGCGTTTTGTGTTACGTTTTTGTTGCTTTAGTGAATTTGTTCTTGCTTTTTTTCTTTTTTTGTCAGAAGTATTCATGACACTTTTTCTCTGCAACGCCTCTGGCTCTGAGGGGTATAATAAATGAAATTATATAAAATGAAATAATACGGACGTTCGGTGACATCACGTGAAGAGTTTTTTTTTATTGTTTGCTATAGCATGTAAAGCTTCTGGCACCAAGCTTTATTTGAAAGGAAAAACTGGGCGCCTCGTGTCTTCTTTATAGACTAGGAGGTAAAAAGAAATGGCAGGTCTTCGTATTTTTGTAATTTAATTTCACGTTCTTATATCTCATGCTAGTGTGAGGCTGCAGTATGTATTTCAGCGTGTCTAAGAAATTGCGCCACCTCCAGTATTCAAAATAACCACTTGTAAAACACTCAAGGAAAACGCAGACGAGAGGCTTCCTAATCTGTGCAATTGTATGCTTAGTTCTTTATAACTCATTTGACTATGACGCACAGCGTATACATTCATGATTTCTTGGAATTCTCTCCTGAAGGAACAAAAGTCATTATCGAGTCGACGCGGATACTCTCAGTGCCCACGGTCTTATATTTCGACAAAACGAGATTACTGTCCATCTGTCACCCTGTCACGTAAAGCGATCGTCGCCAATATTGAGCAACTGTGTCAAAGAAAATTTATTTTTTTGGTGGTGCTGTGTTCCGAACTGGCACCGACGCACTCCTAAGGGGAGTATTTCAAGAACTGGCCTAATGTTACACTTTCAGAATTACAATATGCACAACGATTATGAATGTGCGTATGTCTGGCGCAAAAGAAGCGATACATTTAATATTATAATAACAGTAACTTTTAGGATGTCGCAATAAAGTTTTTTTTTTCTGGGCCAGACAAATTGAAGGATTGCAAACGTCACCGAAAGTCTGACATGCCGGAAAGTTATTTGCGAAGCATCTGCGCGCGCCATCACCAAGAGACTTCTAGAAGTCGCAACACTGTGTAGAAGAGCCGCCGCAGTTTTCCACAAGTCCAGTTCGAGACATGCAATAAAACAGCACGCCTACGCATCTCTCGCATAAATTGAAAGGAGAGTCCTGTGAGGAATTTTTTTGTATTCTGTTCTTAAGAACCACACGTTGCTCTATATATTTGCTTTCTTGTCATTTGAATGTTTTTGTTGAATGATATCTCACAATGACACATTGCTAACTCGCTTTATTTGGCAAGATTTTATTTGCGAAAAACATTTTGCCATCGTCCTCTCGTCTTGATAACCGTGCAAAAAACGCGACAACCCGTAAAGCACTGCAACTTGTACAAATGCGGTCTGTGTGTCCATGACCAAAAATAGTGCATATGTTCGAGTATAAAATAAAGCAGTGAGTACGTCCAGAGATATTTTTTTCTTTAGACGAATTACGTGTGAGGGTGAAACACACAGCAGTTATTATACTTCATCTAAAAAACGGAATCATAAATAACGTTACAAAGTTTTTCGAAATGACAAGCTTGCTGATATCTACGATTCACCGTCTAAAATACAATGAAGTATAAAATTTAGACAACGTGTTCGCGTCTTCGAATAATATTTTGCACACGTCAGGAGGTATATTCTGATAGCCCGTTGTTGACCTAGGTTGATGTCTTGCTTGACCTCATGCCGAAAAGAAGAAAAACTTCCTCTATTCTCAAATTCCCCCTTCCCCAAAGGACGGGTTTCGAACCGCATACTTGCTTTTCCGGTTAACCTCCCTGCCTTTATTTATGACATATCTCCCCTCTCACTTAGGTATTTAATGCGGGTTAGCGGCTTAGTTTATAAAAAAATGAAATTCAGTAAACGTACACCTTATATACATTCGTAACGAATTCAAGATTGTATTACCGTACTGAATTATTTCAGTGTCGTCTGCAGCAGCTTTTCTTAAACATTGACATGAGATACCTCACGTGTTGTGAAAAACTAGCAAGATTCATTTCACTGCGAGATGACTTCTTTACCTATAGCATACAACATATACAATACCTCAAAAAAGACCAGTAAGGTATTAAAAAATAGTTGATGAAAGTCGTTATAATTGTCATCAGTCTAAAATAGTGCTACTGTGAGCTACTGTAAATTTTAGCCTAGGCTGGGGATGCAGTCGCCAATAAAATATTCTGTTTGAGGAGACTGGAAACACCTGCAAGGGGACATTTGCATCGCGCATGTCTTACACTCCTACTTGAACTCGTTTTCCTTCAGGTTTTATGCATTCTAAACTATGCATCAAAAGTCATTGTAATTCGGTCCTTGGAACTTGAACTTGAACCATCTTTCATACACTCCGCTACCAACGCCCTCGGAAATGTGTAGAAAATAAAAACTGGAAAATATTTCGAGATAACCGATTGCCTGCGTCGAACCTCATTCTTCTTCGGCACGCGTTCATCTGTTCTTATGCCAAATGTGTGACCACATCGCAGTACACTGATAATACCGGCTCCGCAGGACTGTCTTTTTTTTTTTTACTCAAGGGTGTAAGGAGCACGAAAAAAGTGGGGGTGCAGAGGTATAAAAGCGACCACTAAAAGGGCCAAAATCAGCACTTGACACAACAGTGGCTGTAAGATCAAGATGGTAAGATACGAGCATATTCTCTCGTTTTTTTGTGAAGGTTATGCCACCATTTTACCACCTCGTCAAATTTTTAACCTGAATTAAGTGTGCTGGTGTTGCTGGTCTCGTACAACCTCGGCAATCTAGGAGCGTTTCAAAACGGCATCAATACAGTAAGACGACGAGGAAACGGGCGCTCTGGCAATGTTCTGCTTAGTAAAACATGACGATATTACAATAAATGGCCGGTGCGAAAGATGATTGCAAATATTGTGATGAATATTTGGTGGCAGTAGTTATGCGCGAAGTTATATAACGTGGAGTAAACTTGTGCTCAATCATGTATAACTTTGAAACATTTGCTGTGTGAAATATTGGTCAGCTAAATGGATTTGCAGTTAAGACAATCTTAGAGTCGCATACACCCCCAAAACAACTCTATCGTATGCGCATTGTTTTATATTTCACCTACAATTGCAGATCCGTGCTTGCATTGTTCTGGCTCTGGCCACCAGCACTTTTGCTGGTTTCGTCGGCACCACTGGCTACGGTGTCGGCCTGGCTGCTGCTCCAGCTGTGGCTACTGTTGCCCACGCTGCTCCAGTGGCCTCCTACGCCACGGTTGCCGCCCCAGTCGCCACCGCTGTTGCTGCCCCAGTCGCTTCTTATGCTGTAGCCCACGCTACTCCCGTTGCCACCGTGGCCGCTGCCCCAGTTGCCTCTTACTCTGTTGCTCCAGCTGTGACCCGTGTCGCCACTCTTGCCCACGCCACACCAGTCGCCACTGTTGCAGCTGCTCCAGTTGCCACCGTGGCTGCTGCTCCAGTTGCCTCTTATGCCGTTGCTCCCGCTGTGACCAGAGTTGCCACAGTCGCCCATGCCACTCCAGTCGCCACCGTCGCTGCTGCTCCAGTTGCCACCTACGCTGCTGCCCCAGCTGTCGCCACCATTGCCCACGCTACCCCAGCTGTCGCTGCCTATCACGCCACTCCAGTGTATGGCTATGGCGTTGGCAGCCTCGGCTACGGCACTGGCCACTACGGTTTCGGCCAAGGTCTTCTCGGCTACGGCCTGAAACTACGCTTATGGTCTCGGCACTCCTTTGCAATATGGTGCTCTGCTCCGCAAGAAGTGTAAGTATAAACTAGTTATAAAATCTTCAGTTCAGCGGGCGATTCTATATACGCAAGAGGAGGAAACTCTCTGTATATGATGGCAAGCTCAGGATTAGTTAGGACTCATATAAGGGAAAAAAAGTTCATTTTGTGCTGAAGCAATGTTTTTACAACATTCGTATTACCACTTACTGCCTAAGACTGTTTATTGCTTAAAGCTTCCAGCAGAAATGTAGTCATGAGAATGATACGAACTTATGAAAATTGGTATAAAATTATTTTTCGCTTGTTTATCACGTGCAAAACTTCAGAAAGCATACGAAAGAGACCTACTTCTCATATTTATATTGATTATTTCAATCGTCGCAAGCGAAGTGTTTTCAAAAATATCATTTTGCATTAGAAACGCTTTGAGAAGGTACCTGAAGTGTTGTAATTGAATAGTTTGCATTTGAATATCTGCACTGCACAATGAATTCACATGACTTCTTTTTAATGATGCATTCTCTTTTTTCCAGAATCTATTTTTCTAATTGCAAGGCAAAGATATACGAACAAGGATGCAGATATTACTGTCATGTTTCATTAATGCTCCGACGACCACCTTTGGAGAATATATTTGAAATAAACACGTATTCTGCCATATTGTCGTTTTAGTTGCTTTTGCATAAACTTCTTTGTATAGCAAAAAATTTTATAACTCTGAAGACTAGAATTTATTTTAAAACCGAAGAGATGCTTTACTCTGACTTGTTTTAGCGCAGCAAGAATTCCACTTTGTAAACTTCCTTCTCTAAACTGTGAAAGCTCTTACAAATAATACAGACACAACAGGCGCTGACTTGAGAGAATAAGCGCCTTCACAACTGGTTAGTTGACATGAGCTGCAGTTAGAACAACTCGTGAAGTTACAAACATCTAGTCAACCGCCAACTAGCACAACCCAGCTTCAATCTACAATGGCATTCATTGAAACAGATACTCAGGCTCCCTCGCTTGACGCAGGCAGAAAATCCCACCAAGACCAGATCTAACAAATCATAGATACTGTTGTCAAAGTGCTCACATCACTCCTAAAACTACAGATCAGCGAGGAGCTACAACAAAAACGGGACCAACATTCAGCCTGATCACAAAAAATGAAGGAGCAAAACTTGGCCTCAATCAAGGGAGCCGTGCAGCCTAAGCTACTTGAACTAAATGCCCTCACCTGCAAATACAAGCGCAGCGTCTCACAGCTGGAACAGGGGCACAGAAGAACACCTGTTAAGTTACTCACGGGGTGCCATGATATCTCCGCGACAGTGCATAAAACTAGTGATTCGGGGGAGACATCTTCGAATCCATAATGGCGTAGCTTCCTCGAAGTCTAAACACAATACAATGGAACTGCAGAAGCTTTCGCCGTGAAGTGGCATCGCTGCAACAATACATAGGTACGCTCGATCACAAACCCGGCATCATAGCGCTACAGGCTACTGTAGTCCCCGATATCAGATTTTCGTCGTACACAACACATGCCAACAAACACAACACATCAGTCTGCACTTCAGTTCACAACACCTGCACTGTGGTCATGGTAGATCTTGACCTACGTGATACGCAGTTTGAGCACGTCTTCATACGCCTTGTGCCTACCAAGCGCTCTCAGCAGCCTGTGTAGGTGCTTGAGATGTACAGTCGACGCAAGTCTGATAACCAAACCTTCTTGAAGGTCTTCCGCAAAGCCAGGAAAGAAGTTCTAAATGCTCCGCTGCTTATAGTAGGCTGCTTTCACGCCTGACACGCCTCCTGGAGTTATACGCAAGAGGAAACCAAAGGACGAAAATTGCACGACCTCATGGCTCTCGAGGGTAGCGCTCTCCTCACCGAACCAGCCTATCCGACTCGCACGTATAATAGTGTTTCGAAGGATACATGCCCCGATCTAACGATGGATATCAACCTTCCTCAGCCACGCTGGTGGAACTCACAAGATAACTTCAGGAGCGACCATTTCATCTATCACACGTCCTTATTGTATAGCACACACAAGAAACATCAAAAGACAGTCAAGCTAATAGATTGGGCAGCTTTCTGCAAAACAGAAAACTTTCCCTTTCATCAAACTCCCACGTCTTACTCGGAATGGACCGGTACCTTACTGGAACTTAAAGACGAGGTTAAAAAACTGTTACACCTACACTTGAAGCTCCAGTGGTCGATAGCCATCTCTTGCATTTATGGGACGCCAGGCGCCAACTCACAAGACGCTGGAAACAACAAATACTTAATCGCCGACTCAAGACACGTATTCCTACCCTCACTGCTAAGGCAGAGAAATATTCAATAGCACTCGCTAAATAAAATTGGTTTTCGAAATGCGACTCCCTTACAGAGTCTCTCCATACGAAGTCTGCCTGGCACCTTCTGCGTCACCTCATTGACCCAGACTTTACCAGAAGAAGCCTTCAGAAGAAGAAGCCTTAACAGAAGAAGCCTTCAGAGGGTTATACATGGCTTCCCTGGCAACAATGCGAAATTACTCGGTGCCCTACAGTCGAAGCATGCCAACACTGCGCGGGACCATGCATTCGTACCCCTTTATGACGGCCCCGATAATCCAGAACTTTCAAGGGCGTTTGCGGTCGTCGAAATTAAAGTGGCAATACAAAGCACGAGGAAAGGTTCCGCCCTAGGACCCGATCAGGTATCGATAGGGCTGCTCTCTAAGCTATGCGATAACATAACTCAGTTGCTAGTAGATAAAATGAATCAGTACTGGGACCCTGGAACGCTAAACCTAGAGTGGAAATTGGCCGAGCTCACTTTCATCTCGAACCCGGCAGAGCGCTCAATATTGATAACATCCGTCCCACATCCCTCACATCATGCGCTGGTAAGGTGATAGAGAAGGCCATACAAATAAAGCTAAACGAATATCTAGAACAGAACCTCTTGCTGACACTATGTACAGCTTTCGTCCCCACTTTTCAACGCAGGACATCCTTCTCCGACTAAAACACGAGATTGTCAACCTACCCAGCGGTACCACTCAAGCAGAAAGGGTCATTCTCGCAATTGATTTCAAGTGTTCCTTTGACAATGTTCGGCACTTCACTATCTTCGAAAGCTTACGGGAACTCAGGTGCGGTCCAAAATTATATGCATACGTGGGGGACTTCCTTACAGACCGGCAAGTTACAGTCCCCCATCACCATGAGTGATTTCGGTACTCTCCAAAGGGCTGTCCTGTTCCGCTCTCCTTCAATATCGCCCTCAAGCGCCTCCTGGAGGCCCTAAATGAAATTTTGCAAGTACGCCACACCACATATGCAGATAACGTCGCAATATGGAGCCAGTCTGGTAACCTAGGTGATATGTCAAGAAGCCTTTCAACAGGCCGCCTCCATCGCCGAAAAGATAGGACGCAAGAGCAGTCTGGAGTGCTCCCCCACCAAATCAGAAATACTGGTGTATCAAAATAACGCATCTGACAATACATCCCTCAGCGTACAACTCAATGGAACGGAAATTAAAGAGGTTGGAATCATACGAATTGTGGGGGCCCACCTCAATAATCGGGGCAACAACTCATTTGCTTTACGTAAAGTAAAACGTCTTGCCTACGAATCTCTCGCATGATTAGTCGGGTAGGTAACCTATGATGAGGGATGAAAGAACACGACATAATGCGACTCATTCAGGCATTTCTTATCAGCCGCATAGTCTATAGCTTTCCTTACCTGAGGGTCTTAAAAGCAGACGAGCACAAAATAGACAGAGTCATACGTGTGACTCTCAAAAAGGCTCTCAGCCTTCTCCAGTGCACCCTCATGGAAGGTCTGCTTCAAATGTGGCTCCACAATACTGTATCAGAACTATTCCATGCACACCACAAGAATTAAGTCTTGCGCCTCGCCATCACCAAAACGGGACGGAAAACACTATCAGAACTTGGCATCGAAGCCACCTTTGAGAGAAGGGGAAAACAACGTATCTCACAAGAATGGAGGCAGGACTTCATCATCAAACCACTTTCACGCAACATGCATCCTCAGTTCAACGAACATCGACGTCGGGCACGGGCAAAAGTTCAAGACAACTACACAGATACTGAGGGCGCCTACTTTGTCGATACAGCTGGACCAGTGAACGGCAAATATAAAGCAAGCGTCATTCATTGTGGAAAACAGGTTCATTGTATATCAGCCCAGGACCCAGACACAACTAGTATGGAAGAAGCAAGGATATAACAGCTGATATAGATACCCGGCCACTGCGGAGTTAGAGGCAATGAGCTCGCCCATGCCTCGGTCCGAAAGTTACCCTTCCGGACCTCAAACTCCGGCATATCGCACCCACCCTCGGCTATGCGCATGGACCCGTTCCTAACATCAAAGACTCGAAAGACGGAAACTTCCGCCCCCGGCGCCAAAGCTCAGTAAAGAATCTCAGGTAGCGTGGCGTCGCCTGCAGACCTTGTCTTACCCCAATCCATACATACTGTCCAAGATAGATCCTGCCACATACGCACCACAGTGCAGGTTCTGTTTCACTAAAACAGCCACCCTGCCCCACATGCTATGGGAATGCCCACACAATCCACCTCTACAACCAAGAGCAAAGCACAACACTGTAGGGTGGGAGGCAGCTCTGTCCTGCTTGTATCCGAAGACGCAAGAGGCCCTCGTGAGACGAGTGACAGCGGCCCGTGCCAATGGGATCCTGGACTAAGGAGCCCACTTACCGACACTCCTTCCTCGGTCGCAAATAAATGGTTTATTCTCTCTCTTTTTGCCGAGTATCGGAGCGAAACGATCTCCGCAACGCCAGGTAAGCGCGGTGAGTGACGCCGTGTTGTGGTTGTGCAATGACGCGTTGTTGGTGCTATCGTAGACGCTCGGCGGAGAAAATTCCTCAGATTATTTTCAGCAGTGGTGTTCAAAGAAACCATCGTGACGTCAAGGATTTTTCACTGGACGTAGATGGTTGTCAACGCGCTGAGAGTCACAGCGACGATGAACGATCAGCTGCTAGCTAACGAGCCGAGAGTTGCACTACACGTTCCGTCGTGTGTTAATGTTTTTTTTCACGCTCGCAAGTTACTTTGATTGGAATTATTGCCTAATATTCCTCAGCGAGCTCAAAATAAGAGCATACTTTTTCTTGTGCCTTGAACGTATCTAAATACATTGATTATTACACAGCGCCGCATGCCGGCAACACGCTCGAGCTCGACCAGCGAAGCGAATTGGTTACAGCATTAAAATATGCAGTTACGACTACAGTCTACGCTAACTTCTCCTACACTTAACTGGTGCCGTTTGAACGACAATATTGTGCGACAAATTTTCGCAGTTTTGACCTTTCGAAAAGCGTACGCGTGTATTCGATTCGCTATCCTTTTTTCGATTGCACTGATGAAACCTGCAACATTGAAGTGCATGAAATTGCACGTTGTTAGAGTCTGATCATGGCTGCAACACAAGTGCTACTTAATGGGAAGTTAGATGCTTGTGAAAGCGGTACGGGGATTACGCTCCGCGTCCTGTCTTTTCCTATGCGAGTTCACGGGTTGATCATTCTTCCGCAGTCATCATGGATTGCATGGTGCACCATAAGCCATTGATTGATTGATTGATTGATTGATTGATTGATTGATTGATTGATTAGTG